TCGGGCGCACCGACTCACTGCGCCCCAGCCGATGGTGCGCAGTGAGTTGGGTTATGTGAACAGAAGCGGGTTTCAGGTCCGGTACCCATATATTTCATTAAACCCTTATGTTTTAGGGTTTCAAGCTATCTTCCCTCTTTCTCTCCTCTCTCACAGTGGTTGCTCCTCAAACTCTCACTGTTCTCACTCCCCAACCCCAACGTGCCGGTCGACGCAGCCGCCGCCGCCGACGACACGAAATTAGGTTAGTTTTTTTCTAGTTTTTCTCTTTTTTTTTTTTGAAAATAATTTATATGATTACATATTTACATCATGTAATAGACTGTTTCTTTTTTCATATTAGACTCTTTTTGAGGATGAGGAAATTTCACTTCAGTTGGATGACGATGGTGATGAGGATAACTAGACACTCTATTAGTTTGCTACTTTCTTATTTTATTTCAAAAACTTTTGCTCATGTTGGATATTATCTTGCATTGTGATTTGTGAAAACTTATGAACTTCTCTATGTTATGCATGCTAATTAAGACTCTTTCGTGATTTAGTAGGTAAAATTATATTTCTTAGTCTTTTTATGTGACAATTTATAAACATGTTGCTTATATGCTTCTTTGTCTTATGTTGGAAAATATTAGTTTGAGTTGTGCGCCTCAATTCAGTGAGGTGCGCACATTGTTGTGCGCTTTGCGCATGATGCGCGTAAGGGACCTTTGTGCCCCGCATTGCGCCTTGCGCCTCAGTAACACTGGTATCCATATCTTCCAGAACTTTTTGCATTTTTCATACCCGTGTATATAAGTCCATGTGTCTTGTTCCGTCCACTTTCAATATCCATGCATGTCCGACATAGATATAAAGTTACAGTACTATTATCATTATATCCACCACGATAGGAACACTTTGAAGAAACATTTATATATGAAACATGGAAAGTGGTGGTTAGAGGATTGATGGATATGCTTGTGAACATCATTAGGAGACGACACTAATGATTATTGTCCCAATTGTTGCATGCCTAAAGTTTACGTATACACCAATAAATTATAACCCATCATCACATATGTTTTCACCAATTTATTAAAAGTAAAATTGGCTTCCATATAACATCAACTCCATGAATTATGTAAAATTAATGGAAAAGCAATGGGCTCGCCATTAATTCCTAAAAAGGCCAGTTAACAAACGGGGAACTGCTTAATCTGTTAACCCGCTTTAAGTTTAAGCAACCAAGTAGTAATGTTCAAGAGAAAATCTACAAGAAGAGAAGAAACGATAAATTATAGGTTCTATATGTGACATTGGACAAGGATAAAAATCATATACCTCAAGAGCTCAAGTGAATAAAACCTGTCAATTAAGTTTTTTTTTACTTCTCAGGGTAACTATTTGGCATAATAGATTACCTCGATATAGCAGAGTCGCTAAAGAAGTATTTTTATTTTCAATTCAACCACTTGACCATTGGAGCTGCAAATAATTTCAACCAGTATTGCTCTTTCACTTTCTCTCAGGTCAATTGAATACTACTATGATCTTTACGGTCAATTATAGATTGTAATGGAAGTATATATATATATAATAGTAATTAGAAAAAATGCAAGAAAAGGGGGGAAAATAATTAGGGTTTTGAGAAGGGAGGAGAGTACCGAATCCAGCGATGAGGCAAGAGGCGGCGACGACGGGCTCCTTAACAACGAACACCTTGAGCTTGTCCATTACTCCCATCTCTACTGCTTGTTTTTGTTTTTCCCCTTTCCCCTTCTTCGTCGGCTGCGTTCAACGAGGATCGAGATTTTGTCAGTGTTAAGAGGGAGAGATCGCGTCGGATGTGGGATTTTGACGACTTCGATGAGTAGTGGTGATGGACGGTCGAGATCTTCTGAAGCTTCCAGATTCCCCCAGTATTATTCTGAACTTTTATTTTAGCCATGAATTGGGCCTCGCTAGTTAAGTAGGCCCATTAGACTTGTTGGGCCCAATCAAAATAACTCCTCTTTAGCGTTTGGAGTTATTCACGAAGCTCTCTCGAAATCCAATGATGTGATGGTTGATATTATTTAGGTCCATATTTTATATTATGAATCTAGATACACTTGATATTTTTCTTTTGAGATAATTTGGATGTGATAAAGTCATTAAAGAGCTTTACTACTTCATCAACTTTATTTCACAAAGGTCGTAGCAAAAGCTCTAGCTTGGAGCCTCTTATGGCTTGATGAGAGTGTCCCTTGCTAATGAATTTATGCCTTCTCAAGTGATTTACAAAGCAATAAACTCAGTAGTTCGTCTTATTGGCTCAGACTATTTACCATGCACTACGCATTATATCAGAACCGCCTGCTTGAACAAGTCATTATGTGCCACATAAAGAGGTCCGCCACCACCAAAAAAACTCTCTGTTTCCATTGAGCAACTCAAAACTGCCTACTCGCATGAAGACAGTTTTGACAGGATGAAAACTCTTTACCATTGACATTTTTTAAAAATATTAATTATGTGTTGTATTTCTCTAGCACTTATCAGGTCTTCAAATTTTCAACAATAGCCTAATACCACCAAAATCTAGCCTAATACCACCAAAATCTACTCCTTTATACTTAAAGGAGAATCCCAAGAGCTACTCCTCGTGCTACACTAAATGCTGCAGTAAAATACTTAACATCAACGGTAAACAATCCGGCCATCTACACTTGAAGTTACTGTTCATGCTACAGCAATTTAGTGTAACATAAACAATCTGCTCCTTCATACTTGAAGTTACTATTTATGCTATAGTATTTTTACTATATCTTAAATAATAAAGAAAATCAAATGTATTAAAACTTGGATCCTTTTTTAAGTATAGAGGAATAAATATGATTTCTAAATCAAATTATTAAAATTTGAATCATTCTTTAAGTATAGGGGGAGTAGATATGATTCTTAATTTTAAGCATGCAATAATTAAATTAAATATATTAAAAATTAGAGTAAGATAAATTTAAAATAAGGTGTTTAAAAAATAGGGGGTGGTGTTTTGCACAAGGTGCACACTAGTGTTACTAGAACCCCAAATCTGAACAAAGTAAAAGGGCCGGGCGCGGAGGTGGAATGTATGTTCAAAAACCTAGGGCCCAGTAGGCCACTAATCACGGGCACAACAAGCGTTGGTTATTTCCCCGTCCTTTATCTTCGCGTAGGCCGAAATCGCGGTTACAGCGTTTGGTAGCAACGCAAGCTTGGGCCCGTGAGTGGAGAAAACAATTCAACCGGGGCATACTGGAAGCCCCCCCCCCCCCCCCCCCTAGTCCCACGTTGGGGATCCACAAAGGAATAAAAAGGATGGGGAAAAGAAGTCTTGGCTGGTAATAATTGAGAGTAGAGGGACAACATACTCATTTATCGATCTTCACGAGCTTATCATAATTTCATAAAGAATGATAGAGTGGCAAATGCCATCAATATATCTATTTGACTTGCTACTTACTAGTACGGTGAATGCCATCAATATATCTATTTGATCTTGCAATCACACTCTACACCATTTAAGTGTTGGTCTCTAGCCCGTGTCTCCCTCAAGTGCTTAGATTTACAACCTCTCCCTAGGCTTTACTATCGACGTCACTCCTTTTGGAACGACCACGTCTCTCACCACACATTCCTCTCGGTGTACAAGTGTATTATAAAGTGTATTCTCACAATGAAAGCTCAAATACAAAGTTTTGTTCTCTACTATGGATGAGAACTCAATTAAGGCTCACTCTCAATGTCACAATCCCACAACCTCAATATATACTATGTATGCAAATACAATAAGCTCAATGGTTGTGTGTGTAAACAAAGAGTAAAACAAATATAAACTCAATCTAATCTAGCAAAAAATAAATATAACAAATTAAGCATAAACAAGCTAGATAATGAGTTTAAGAAAATTTCTCTAAAACAAGAGTAGAGGGATGTAGATTGAAGCCCAAACAAGAATGGATAATCTCCTCTTCCTCTTGTGAAAAATTCTTCACAAAACAAACTTGAAACAAAACTTAAATGAATTTTTAAACACCCTTAAAACTTGTTTTTAAACACTCTTGGTTGGTAGAAATGTTAAATGCAATGGGGTATATATAGGATGGAAGAAACCAGCCCAAGAAAACCCCAAAAACCCATAAAAACATTAAAATAAACAAAAAACTGAAAATAGCCGTTACTGTGTAACGGTTAAATTTATAAGTCGACTTGGTGTAAGTCGACTTGACAGTTCACATGAGTCGACTTGCAGAAGAAAAACTCAAACTGAAAAACAGCTCATAAGTCGACTTGTCTGGAAACATAAGTCAACTTGCTATAAGTCGACTTGCGATGATATATAAGTCGACTTGGCAGAGGCTAAATACACTTTTCAGAGGAGTTCATAAGTCAACTTATCAACCCTGATAAATCAACTTATGAACATGCACAGAGACCGTGCATGTCTAAAAAATAACTTTTAAAGTGCATTTAAAAATAGCAAATAAATTCAAAAAATATAAAACTTTGAAAAATATTTATAAACATGATAATAAACATGTTACAAAAAAAATTTCAATTTGTACTTTATCATTTGTAAAATCTCATCATTTTGTAAAAATATCCAAAAACATGAAAACTAAACATACATGTTTTTCACATATTGATTTAAACAAACTTTTGAAACTTTATAAAATGATTTCATAGACTTAATAAAATATATAAATAGTGATTGTTAAGTCCATAAATAAGAATACATTATTTTCACAAAAATGCATGTTTTGCAAACATTCAAAACAATAAACATGATTTTATTGAACTAAATAAACTTCATATTGATGAAATCATATATAAGTATATAAACATGAAACAAATATGTATTTTCTAATTATATTCATATGTTTTATATTTAAACTTAAAAACTATAAAACCAAAACATGTAAATATATATAACTATATATGTATAAACAAAAACGTGTATGTGTGTATGTGATTAAGCTTGAAGTATCTACACACAAGTATAAACCTAAACTAAATTACCCAAGCAATCTTGACCTTCAATTTGAGCTCGTCTTGGTAAACTTTGCGGATGAAGCTTGATCTTGGATCTTGACTTGAAATGTATTGTTTCACTTCACTATTCCGCCAACCTCCATTGGATATGATCGTGAAAGCTCGATTTCATCCAACCTCCAACTCATTGTTTGCCTAGAATAAATAAGAAAACACAAACATTAGACAAACAATATTAGTTATAAATTATTTATTAAAATATCATCAAAACAAAAAGGCCAACAGATTCATTATAGAGAGAGAAGGGGCTTGTGAGGAGACTTAACTTGACTTATTCTCATAGCTGCAAATTTTGACTGTAGGCCTGCTAAATATGTTGCATTGGCTTATTTTATTTTTGACTTAATTGTATTTAATAGAATCTAAGTGGTTTGGAGTTAAAAGTGGGTTATGACACGTTTTATAAAAAAGACTCGAATCCAATGAACTTTATATGTTAAAATGCGTATATTCGTATCTGTATCCAAAATTTAAAGTAATATATGTATCCATATCCAAAAAATTAATTCAAAACCATATCCATATTTGAAACCATATCTGCTCAGTTTTAAATATTTACCTACCATATCTGCATTCATTTCGGATATGGATGCAGATCAGCTTCAGATAAATCTGATCTGTTTGTCACCCCTTAGCATGAAATGTAAAATAAATCGATGACAACTAATATTCGTGACGAGTGGGTCGTCAAAAATGTGAAAACATCGTATACATTGGTGACAACTTATATTCGTAACGGGTACGTTGTCAGAAATGTGAAAACACCGTCATAAAATGTTATACGTTGGTGATAGCGTATATAGGTGACGAATTCTGCCATCACTAATGTTTATATTTATGACGGAAAGTTTTCCATCACTAATGTGCTGTCACGAATGAGCGGATTTCTACTAGTGGATCAACATCTTGTGGAATTTTTCAAGGTTTAACAATTTTTCTACAATGTTGTATTGATCTCTTAACTTTTGGTTTAGAACTAGTAACATAATAAGGTACAATCTTCATGTTTTCTATCATTGGTTTAATTTCCTTAAATGCACTTTGCATAATTAAATTTAAAATATGAAACATGCATCTAATATGAAAAACTTCACTTTGGCATGGCAATAGCAAAGATGTTTGAATATGATCTACATCTTGTTAGATCTACATCATAAAACTTGAGATCTAAAAACCATATAGCCATGATTAATTCAAAGAGATTAACAAGGATCTAAAAGAGCGGAAGCTTATACCTGAATCCATTGCTTGATCTTGATTTTGGGTTTTGGATCTTCTAACCTTAGGGTTCTCTCTAAAACCGAATTTCTCTAGCTAGATGGGGGTGTAGAGAATTAGAGAATGTAACCCTAGGTTAGGGACCATAACCCCTTATTTATAGGTGTTGTACTTTTGTAATTTAGCCCCTCAATAAATTACAATTACAACCTGGTATCTGCACATATGACCCCATGATCATTTAAATACCAAATTAACCCAACTTAATTGATCACTTTAGTGGGTTATCCTGAAAGATAGCAATACACATTGTTTAATCATATGTGCCCACAAATAGATTTATTAGATTAAATCCAACAATCTCCCACTTGGGCACCATATGATTCCTTAAACTGTGTATAACCTTATGAGCTCAAAAATTGCTATCACTGAAATGGTATTTCCGAACAATCTCGTCCATTGACTATATCAATATAGGATCAAAGCGGCCTTCGTCACATTTATCGTGACTCGACCCATCAATGGTCACATATATCAATACAATCAAATGACATAGA